AGAATCCTTGAGAACAATACTCGAGTTGTCGTTACCGTTAACTATATTTTAAAAATCACTCATTTTTTATCTGTGCGCGAAAGAGGATCACATACAAATGTCTTAGACATATTCTATGCTCTATGAACTCAAACATCTCTTCAAACACAGCCACAAGACCTTATAAATATGAAATACAAATTTTGAGCAGTAAATTAATTCAAACCATCTAAATATGGAAATACTTAGCTTTATTCATACCTTTTTGTTGGTCTGACATGAATACATATCTTCTATGTTGTCCAATATCTTCCATAAGCAGTTGTAAGAACCACCTCCAGCTTTCCTTTGCTCTGTTTCCACAACACCAAAGGCTAAAGGAAAGTACTGGTCATTAGGATCCCTAGCCACAACAATAAGTAATTGGCCACCATTTTGTCTTCAGGTGACACTCATCCACAACAATAAATGGTCTGCAACCATTAAGAAACCCTTTCTTGCACCCATCAAAACAGAAGTAGAAACTACCAGACCTTAGTGGAATTGTTGGAATTGGTCTCTCCATATTAATTTTCACTGAATTCCTAATATTTTACTTCCTAAGTTTTACATCATAACTCCACAATAAATAATATTGCTTAGTTGAGTGGCCTTCAATAATTTTCCTAGTTATGTGTTAGAATAAGATTTGTTCTTGACATATTCTCTTTTAGTTTTGATGATAACAAAAGTATTAAAAGAACAATGGTTTATTTAATGTGAGTTTTATTTATGTAGGTTCTTATTCTTTTACATAAATAATCAGAATCTGTTCTAATTAGACACACTTGGGAGTTTCTTCATTGCTAGCTTCTGGTGGCAGAGTCTGAAGAACAATTACTAGTGTGGCTTAACGCAGACTCTAAGCTGAAGGCCTCAGCATTCAGACGAGTTATTACACTTGGTAATTATATATCAGCATCTGGTACCATTCAGAGTTGATGATAAAGTTGTGGATTTTCCGTACTGCAGAAAGCAAGTTGTATTATTTTATCAGCTTGTCAACTATAGTCTACAAGATTGCAAGGCTCAAGAAAGGTTGACATGCTCTATGGACGTCTGCTCCCCAACGGCTCTATCAATACAAAACCTCTTGAAGACTCAAAGGTTAAATGCATTACATACTGGATTTAGAATCTGTTGTACATCCATCTTCAACGTCTCTTGTACTACAGAATAAAAGCAAAGACACTTGATCAAGTCACTTCCTCAACGCGGATAGTTTCTAGAAAGGCTATATATATGGGAGAAGATTCAAGTTTGAATCTTAACCAGGATTCTTCTAATGAAGGAGTAGCAAGATCAAGCAATTATCAACTCTAATGTAATATGGAGATTTTATGTTTTAGGTTGTAATTGTAAAAGCCTTAAGATTTCTTACCTCTGTATATATTAGAAATCTTAAGTGCTTTAGTTCTTTGTTATGGTGATTTCTCGTATCTCTGATACTTGTATCATGTACACCTTGTTCTTTATGCTGCTGAGTCTTCAGTAGTTTAGATTTCTCCTACTATATTCTTGAGCAAAAGTTCTTGTCTCATTGGGATTCAAGCAACAAGTCTTGAGCCAAGATGCTTAAGCCACGTAAGTCTCATTGCTTAAGTGCTTGAGCTATGAAAGTCTTATTCAGCTAGTCTGATTGAGCAAGGGGGAAAGTATTCGTCTTAGGGGCGTGAGTAAGAAGTCTCGAGTGCTATTTGAGTAAGGAAAGTCTCGGTCTGGATGGCCAGAAGAACAGGTGGCTCGACAAAAAAATGTGAGCAAAGGGAAGTCTCAACCTGAAAACAGAAGAGCAGGTGGCTTAGTATGATGGTGTGAGCAAAGGTTAAGTCTTAGACATGTGCTATAAGCAAGGGAAGTCTCAGACAGTTAGTCTGAGCAGTTGTAAAAGACTTATGCAGAAGCATAAGCGATTGTAATCGTGAAATGGTTATAATGAAAAGCTTTTGTAAGGCAAGGGGACTGGACTACTCTCAGTTAGGAGAGGAACCAGTATAAATATTTTGTGTCTTCTACTGTTATTTTATTTACTTCTGTTATATCCGCTGCCAAACAAATTAACTCAGAATCTAAACATCAGTTCTGATTCTGAAACTCTGATCAGAAGCTAAATTAAAAGAGAACGCGAAACACAATTCAACCCCCCTTCTTGGGTACTTTTCACACCTTCACTATGTGCTTGGCCATCCATGCTCTTCCTTTGGCAATACCAACTAAATATTTAGTCCTAAGTTCAGCCATTAGATCTGAGACTTTAACCTTGTCACTTGACTGCCTCTTCTCAACTGCAATCTTGGACACCCATTTTTAGTTGGCTGACTTATTATCTAAAACCCTAGCACATTGTGTGACCCCACCCAGGTCTTTATTTGAAAAGTGTGTTTGTCACCCACTTTACCACAAAGTGCTAAAAAACCACATTTACCCCTGCACTCCACCCTAACCCTTCAACTTTCATTTTCTTACAAACCTAATCTCTCTACCATTTAAAATAGACCATTCTCTTATAGCATCCTTAAATTCAACAAGAGAGTTAAACTCCATACCTAGTTTGAACTCATAGTCTTTGTTTAACAAATCCCCTCTAAACTTCTCATATTCGGGCATCCTTTCATTATCAGTATCATCTAGGTCTGAGCTACCCAACTCTTCACTTTCATAATCACCATCTTGTTCTACACACTTTGATGAACTTGGATTCCCACGCATGACCATTGAAGGAACGACCAACCTATTTTTTTTGGGGACCTTACAGTTGATGAATCTTTGTTAGCTTTTAACTTGTATCTATATTTCCTACCACTGATTTCAACCCTATTACCTTCTTCGGGTTTATCAACCTCCACGGCCATAAAGCCTTCATTTTTCTCATTAACTCTTTCTTTCTCATTATCTTCAAATCTGATCCCTAAAGAATCATCATCACTGTTATGCTCACTATCTTCACCAATATCTACAAAATTTGGAGTGAGCACCCTCTTCGAATTGTCTGCAAAATTGTGCTCCACCCATATATGCCCATCAATATTGTGAGAAATAGAATGCTTGACAATTTCTGTAATGTGTGTATCATCAGTCAGGTGGAAGAAACCTTCATCAATCCCTTCAATCTTTCTCCACATTCGGACACCACTGCCGTCAAAACCACACTCCTTTACAAAGCTCAAGGCTTCAAAATACGACCACATGTCTACATCCTGGCCATTAACAATAGTTTCAACTCCCCCTTTGTAGAAAACAAAGCTTTCACGAACAAACTCTCCATTGTGGTGAAAAATTAAGTTGAACGGTACAATCCCTAACACAATAAAATGGGCATGCAAAAATCAACCATAGGTGACACAAAAAAAACTATTAACTAACTACAAAAAGGAAACATACCTCTTACCTTGTCAAGATAGCAATGGAGACAAAAAAACGGCTTGGAGAAGACGATGAAGATATGTTGTATTCTATTTTAGGTTTCGAGGGGGTAAACAAAATATCATATGCAATCTAATTACTAAATTTGTTTTATTAATTAGAAAAATGAAATTAATCATTTAAAAATCTTATTAATAACTTATTAAATTACACATGCAATGTTACTTAAATGAATAGTGCAAAAAATGCCACGTTGTCAATACCACATCAGCCTCTTATTTGACCAGATCTACTTAAGGTCTAAAAGTGGGGAATCTTCAAAATACAGGGATAGAATTTGTATTTTTTTACTGGATCCTTTTTCGAAATCTCATTAAATGGCAGGGAGAATATGTGTATTGTAGCAAAAGGTGTATTTAGACTTATGTATTATATCAAAAGGTTTGCAAGTTTCACATAAAATTTTCTATAGAATCGAAGTAGCCAAGCTAGAGATAGAAATAATTTGTGAGAAATTATGTGAGTCTTGAGTCCCTATTTATTTCTATACTTTTATTTTTCATTAAATAAAACACATTTACTTTTTTTTGTCATTTACTTCATTCTCTTTTAATGGTTTTTATTTCAAGTTTTTGAGTTAATCTCAAAGACAGGTTTGGTTACAGTCTTATACGTATGTCACAGTCACATTTTTCACACAAAACCGAACTTGAGACTTTTTTAGTTAATCTAAAAGACTTTCAAACTCGTAATTATTTGCTAAAAACACACGCGAATAATAGGCTAATAACATTTTAGTAAATATTGATCAAGATGAATCCATTAAAGTTTGAATTCAATAATCGTAATTATCATCAATTCCTAAAACACATCATTAACAATAATTAAATAATTTAGTCAACATCGATTTTTTTATTTTTTATTTTAATTTCAAAAAGGTATTCTATCTTTTTCAGATCTATAACAAAGTTTACAGTATAGAGAAGATGAGAAAGCTATTGAATTGAAAGAGCTAAACAACATAGAATTTGTGTCGTACAAGGAGATGAAACCAAACCCAAAAGACTAAAAATCATACCAAAAAAATCAAAACAGATGACTAAAAAAAATAGAAATTTCAATTCCAAAACAAACTTATAAAATAAAAATTTCAATCCCAAGACAAATTCAGAAAGAATCATAGAAAAGAAAGATCTCAAGAATATTACCGAGTCGGATGATATAAAAAAAGAAGGGTGGAAGAGAAAGAAGCATAAACAAGAAAAGAGAAATGAATGGATCTTTTATTTAAAACAACAAAAACATTCACCATATCCATAGCTAAGACTTCATCATTAATCATATGAAAACATTGATAATTAAAAAAATTAAGACCATTGCAAAAAGACAGATGAACAACACCTGAATTGTAAGTTGTAACGCAACAACAATTGGCTCTTAGCAAATCATGTATCTCAGTAAACAAAATTGCATCATAAAGCAATGACTTTCTCACAACAAATAACAAAAATGTTCAATGGCAAAAAAAAAAAAAGTATCAATCAAATACCAAAACATTTCATATTGATCCAAAATAATGATACTATTACACTGTAACTAAGATCTTCTTTCAATTCAATCTATGCTGTACTGCAGCATGTACTCTTCTTAACCTCTGAGACATCATCTTTACCAATATTGATAGTCTCTCCCTTAGGCACTGACGCAGAGCCATTCTCTTTCTCAAGAGCTCGCTTACTCACAACGTTGTATATCTGAGTGAGCACTTCCACAAACGCACTGTCCACATTCACCGACTCGAGTGCAGAAGTTTCCATGAAATATATGTTTTCCTTCTCAGCAAATGCGGTGGCTTCTTCTGTGGACACGGCACACAGGTGTCGAAGATCTGTTTTGTTTCCTACAAGCATGATTACAACGTAGGCATCAGTGTGATCTCGAAGCTCCTTCAACCATCTCTCCACGTTTTCAAATGTCACGTGCCTTGTTGAATCGTAGACAAGCAATGCACCAACGGCTCCACGGTAGTAAGCACTTGTGATTGCACGATATCTGCGATACAAAAAAAAACAATAAGCTACAAGATTGAGGGATGGGATGAGCTATAATGATTTATCTAGGAATCTAAGATTCATTATCATGTAAGTGTCACATTGTAGTTGAACAAATTCTCTTAGTTGAACTCTCATCATGGAGGAAAAAGTAAGACATCTTAATAACTAACAAATTGCAAATTTTGAAAGAGAAAACTCAATGGATATGGAAGCAATAAACAATGCTTAGGCTTCTAACATGATTTCCCCCACACATTCACATGAGGTCACACTCATTCAATTTAGGACAGGTATCAGAGCAATCATATCAAATAAACACATGATATGCAACAACAACCAAGCCTTATCCAACTAAGTGACGTCGGTTTCACGGATCAACTTTCGCCATAATATTCTAATCAAATCACCATTGCACAATTTAAAAACATTCATTCATAAAGTATCACTTGAACATTCACGTGGTTGAGCTTAATTCAACCCTACCCTACGACATGTAGGATGTGGATGGTATATACAAAATATCATGTCAGTGTCAGTGTCCTGTCCTGTTCCGTATAGTGCTTCATATCAGAATCCAATTTATGACCAGTGACCTAAACATCAAGATCATAAGTAAAAACCCTAAAACCACAACAAAAAAACACTTGCAGCATTTTGGCTCCATTCAATTCAATTCAATTAAACTCATGAATGAAAAAACAATCAAACCCATTAAAAACCACCAACAACAAAAACCTAGATCATGAAGTAACCATGAAAAAAAATGAAGAAAAAAAGGTGTAACCTTTCTTGTCCAGCAGTATCCCAAATCTGAGCCTTAACAAGTTTATCAAGAATCCGAACACTTCTAGTCGCAAATTCAACACCAATAGTAGATTTGGATTCCAAGTTAAACTCGTTTCTGGTGAATCTAGACAACAGATTGGACTTGCCAACACCAGAATCACCGATCAAAACCAACTTGAACAAGTAATCGTATTCTTCATCGGCGGCACCCATGGATTAGATCGAATCGAAAATTAAATGGAATGAAAAAGGAGTGAAAATAAGTAGAGTAAAAGTTGAAAGGTTCAAAAATGGTAATTGGGGAAATTAGAGAGAGAAAGCGTGTAGAGTGCGTGTACGAGGAAGGAAGGAAGGAAACGTAGGCGACTGTTACTGAAAACAATTCACGCCTCAATCAAATGAATCTTCTACTTTTTTTTTTCTTTCTTTTTTTTTAATTTTATAATAAGATTAATAACGGCTATTTTTCGCGATGACATAAAGCCATTTTCGGTCAATTTTAAAATTTAAATAAGTTTTACATTAATATCTCCTCTAATATAAATTTAAAGGCTTATTTGCAAATTTATTCCACACATTTTCATATAAAACTAAAAGTAGTGTATTGATCCTCCCATAAAAACTTATTATTCAATCATGTAATATAATTAATTTAAATATATTAACGTGATTTGAAAGAATATATGATAGAATATATGATAGTGATTTTGATTAATAACATAATTATTTTAAATTGTCAGTATTTTTATTTTATTTTATTATTTTTAAGTTTTATTCCTTTTTTTGAAATTTATTTTTTATTTTTTCATTTTACTTTTTATTTGGGAATTTTAACTTTTTTAATATGAGATTAAATTTTAATCACACAGTGTCACGATCACATCTACGATAATTTATTATAGATACTTTTTATTATATTCTATTTGATAATTTATAATTAATTTTTATTTTAATAATAAAATAAGTTATTGTATTGTTAGAAAAATAAAAATAATATTAAAAATCTTCAATTGAATTACTAGAATTTGTAATAATTTAAAAAAAATATATCTTTTAAAGATTTATATAATAACTAATTATAATTTAAATAAATAGAATTTTGTACTAGAAGGGGATTGAATCTCGATCTCGATAAAATATAGAAGGATCAACATATTTACCTTCTCAACTCTTATATATTTAGGAGTATTAAAAACTCACGGAGAAATATAGTAGCCGAGATGATTAATATGTTGAACTTATATATTTTAGTAACGTCTATCATTTGATTTTCTCCAGTACTACAAAATTTTATTTTTATAAATATAATTAATTAATTCTATAGATTTTTAAAAATCATATAATAAATTTTTTTTTTGAAAAAATAAAAATAAAAATAAAAATAATATAATTCTAGTAATTTTATTTAGATTTTTTTATTTTATTTTATATTTTTTAATGAATAGAATAATTTAAATTATTATAAATTAAAAGTTAATTGTAAATAATAACAAATGATATGTAATTAATTTATATAGATATAAATTTGTTTGATATTGATATTATAAAATTTTTATTTCTAAATGAAATGCTTGCTTTATTAAAAATTTATAATATTAAAATAACTAAACGAAAGAATTGTAAATTGTCTTACACAAAATATAATATATACATATATATATATATATATATATATATATATATATATATATATATATATATATATATATATATATATATATATATATATATATATATATATATATATATATATATATATATATATATATATATATATATATAAAACAAATATTGTTAATGATACATAAGTACATATAAATAAAGAAAAGTATAGCGCTCATGCTATATTAAATTATTTAGATACAGGTATAAATTTAAAATAAATTATTTAATTGTTAAATGATCAATGATCTTATGAAATCAATTGTATTAAATAAGTATTTAAAAAGAAAAAAATAGGACATGTCTAATGGAAGAAAAAAAAAACAAAAATTTGATATTTGAAAATAAAGATTTTATCTCTTAAATAAATGTAATTGTCAATTAAAATTGGATAGTGACTCGTAAGATAAAAAAAACTAATTATTTACACAACTATTCAGTATTATTAAAAAACTAATTATTTACACAACGACTCAGTATTATTAAAAAACTAATTATTTACACAACTATTTAGTATTATCCAATTGGATAAAATAAATTATTAATTTTTATTTAAATTAAAAATAAATAAAATTAATTAATAAGCAAGATAAACATAGTTTACAACAATGATATATTTATACTACAACAACAACAAACATTTAGTGTATGAACTAATATCGTTGTAAAACCTGTCAAGTAGAATATATAACAAAAGAATGTCAAATAACTGTAGCATTAGTTAAGCATTTTCAAACATGCAATCAAAATAAACTAAACTAAACCATATTAAAAAAAATATATCGAAACAGACACTTTCAAAAAGAAATAATAACATCAATTAAAAAGAGAAAATAAATTCTTCATCATGGATTATCAACCAAATCCACCACCATTCTAGGCAAGTATTTCAATACCCCTATTACTGACATTAACACAATTCAAATTCCATGCTACTTAAAATTGTAAGGAAATAAAATTATTTAGAACATTATTCCTCTCTTACATAGTTGCATCATAATTATCAAATATTCTTTTAAAACATTACTATATTCTAGATTCAAATGTACCTCAATAAACTCATCTAAAGCAATATATTGTATATCTTCTTCAAGTATCATCTACAACCAAAACGTCATTAGGTGTTAGATAACATATCAAACTCAAGAACTGCCACAAACTATTGATATTTTCCAGCTAAATATTTATATCAGGGATGCAAGCAATTGAATTCATCAATTATTCAAGTGAGGACCAGACTACTACATTATAAGAAGATGCAAGTAATAAAATTAGAAGTTGGAAAATTGAACATCAACTAATTGTTATATCAGTATGAGAAATATACCAAATTGTTATTATTCATGAGATCTGGTACCGAAATGTTGGGGCTGAAGCCTTCATCCATTACTTAGAGCCTAATATTGCAACAAGAATGAACACACAACTCACAGTAGATCCAAATAAAGTGACTGCAAAAATTCTATAAATCAGGACCGATAAAAACTCCTTGCATTACATTAAATCTACTGTCTTCATCAAGGTGCGGTTTTTTATTTGATCTCAATCTATTCACAGACCAAATTATAGTATTGAATCTTTGGCATTAGCAAACAATCTAGATCTAGTTATAATGTATCACATAATAGTTGCTAACATGCACGATTACATACTCAGTTTAATACACTATGGCACAATGAATATTTTCTCTCCAAAATAAGCCAACAATATTATTATATATCTGATCTGACCTGATCAGAAGGGGATCACTAGTTGTCCACACTCTGCTGGGTTGCTGCCAGTTCACCGGTAATGAGGAGGAGGAGGGGGTGTACCTGCAAGGCACTTCGATGCCAATGTAAGTATATGGGCAGAGTGATCACAAGTACAGAAAAGGGATAAGAAGTGAATTACCTGACCCTCTTGTGGAAGAGGGTATTTATAGAGAGACCCCAGCGCTGGGCCAACAGTCACTTGTGTTGGGCTGGATTGCCAGGCCCAACCCAGGTGACTGCTAGGGCTTACGTGGCGTAGTGAAGACCAGGACGTGATCTTCGCCCTAGTCCAACTGTCCCATGATCTCCGGAAAGTGGGTTTGACCTGCTCTTTCGGAGGTGTGCAGTTGGTCGGTGACGTGTCCCCGCAGAGAGGAGCACGTGGAGAACATGTGAGGGACACGTTGTCCTGCCCGACGGGGGAGCAGGTTCTGCCCGTGGAGGGTAGGTCCTGCCCGCGGAGAGGGCAGTGTTTGGTCGAAAGGGGAGTTTCTTGCCCGACGTAGTTGAGGCAGGTCCTGCCCGCGGGGGGACATTTCCTGCTCGTCGGGGACCCTGTGCCCGACGCTGTGGCCCAAGCTGGACTGGGCTTGGCAGAATATTATTGGGCTGGGCCTGCGTGGCCAGGCCGGGGCCTAGGCCAGAACAGGAGCCCCCCAAGTCGTAGCTCCGAGGAAGGGAGCGAGGACTTTATGACGTTGTTCCGGGGAAGGGGATTGGCCCGAGGAAAAAACCCTCCAGCTCGTGTTCCGCGGGGGCGCGAGCACGTGCGTCCTTCCACGTCGTCGGTTGCCCGGGCTTGAGGGCATGTGTTGGCGAGGAAATGTGAGAGGACGCAACTGTCAGCCTTCGCCTCGTGTCACGTGCTGGATGGCTGCTACCCTAGGGTACTCGAGTGCCTAGCGACGCTTCGAGTCCCGTGTTGGGGTATAAGTAAGCGAGCCCCCACTCATTCTTCACTTTTCGCCCTCTTGCTCTCAAATTTTCTGCTTTGCTGTCCCGCCGCCGTTTGATTTCTCCGCCGCCACAGCCGCCACGTACTCCGTCGCAGATCGTATCTCAGTAAGTTTTCTTTCTACTTTCTTTCCCTTTCTTGTTTGTTTTAGGACTGTGGTCAGGGCAGTTTGAATGCCCCGAGGAGAGGTGAAGATCTCTGCCGTTGTAGGGTTTTTTTTAGGGTTTTTATCGTGAGCGTCCCGAGGAGAGATGCTAGTTCCGATGAATGTCCCAGGGAAGGACGCTTGTTCCGATGAATGTCCCGGGGAGAGATTCTTACTCCGATGAATGTCCCGGGGAGTGATGTCTATTCCGATGGACGCCCCTGGGGAGAGTTTATAGGTTAGGCTACGCTGGTCCCCCGGGGAGGTGGTAGGTTTTGGGTAGATCCACCGGGGACGATGCTCGGTGTGTCCTTGTCGCCCTTTCACTTGACTTGCGGTGGAAGGGTGAATTTGACTTTGTCATCGAATTCACCGTTACCTTCTGCTTTTCAGGTGTTAATGACTACGTTTGTCCTGGGCACAATGGTCGAGGATAATGAACCGGACGTCCCATATTTTGACGAGCGTGTCCTTCCGCTCGAGGATTGGGTGGCCGAGGAGCCTCTGTCTATGCCCTCCTGCTTTACTTCTGACCCGACAGGGGTCTATGCCACCGTGGAGGACCGGCGAGAAGGAGATCCCCAGAACTGGCAAGTCTATCGTCCCCGGCCAGGCCATCGAATCTGCTCGAAATATGGGCGGATGCGCTTCCCGATGTATGAGTTCTACTTCAAAGAGGCCAGGCTCAGGTTGCCAT